AAGAAGAAGAAGAAGAAGAAGAAGAAGAAGAAGAAGAAGAAGAAGAAGAAGAAGAAGAACTTTAAAAAAACATCGAAAAAGCGAAAATATTTTCTATTATAACATGTGATTTTATAAAAATTGTGAGTGTCAGTCAGAAATAAATTTACAACAAAAATTGATGAAAATAACATAAAATAAGGTACAAGACATAAGTCAAATTCTATATGGTAAGTGGTAAATATTAAGTAATTCCTAAAGCACATATTTCCAGCAATTACTTGAACAATTTTAACCTTTTAAATTGGCTTGATATTTAGTATAATATGGTTTGCTCGAAACATGAAAAACATTCAATAATAAAAATTAACTTAAACATTATTTAGGTTGTGTGTAGAATGCGTGCGTGTGTGCGTAAATGCATTTCCTGACTATAAAAAAAAAAAAAAAAAAAAAAAGGTTGTGTGTAGAATATCTCTCTATTATTGTTTCATATATTGTAGATCAAACTGTAAATTGGTCATGTCATGACAAGTTTTTCAAACTAATGTGATTTATGATTCTATCATAGACATTTCACAAAAATGGGCAGGCAATAAAAGTTCCTATCTGTACCTGTAAAAACTAATCATAATTTTTTACATGGTTTGTGAGTTCCATCATTGTAGAGAATTGCAAAGAAGTTTTGTAAGTAAATGGGGAGAGATATAATCAAAGAAAACCAGTTTTTTTTAATAAGGTATGTAATTAGGTGAAAAGCAATAATTAAATTGATTATGTTATACACTTGAATCAATTAATTACAATTTCATTCTGTTGCAGATGAATAAATGCACCTCTTCAAGGTCTACAGAATTATTAAATGAAGGAATTAGAATCTGAATTACTGACTGCATATCGCTGCAACATCTGCTACAAAGTTTGATTATTTGAAATATTGAAAAATTGAATATGAAAAATAACTTTTTATATGGAGTAGTTTAACCGCAAATCTAAAAAAGAGTCACCATGTTGCAGGAAATGCTAGTAATTATATTAATATTGATATATAGATGTGTAACCTATAGATTTAGTGTTTTATATTAGTTTGATGTTAACAATATGACAATTTTTAGAAATATGTATTAGACTTTAATAAAATATACACTAGCATAATAAGATTTTCTCGAAATTGGTAAATGTAGTGCATAGAAAATAAAAATATACTAAAATATAGGGAATTAAGTATCAAGTATAAAAGATTAAAAAATACCATTTAGTGAAAAATATGAAACAAAATTAATTTATTAAATTTGGATTTTACAAATATCACAACTTATAATATATCTTAAACTTTTTTGAACTAAGTAATAAGAAATAAACAAAGATTGTATACAATTTTCTTACAAGTAATTTAAATTTCAAAACAGGTACTTTACCCCAAAATGATGCCTCCTAAGCTCATTATTTTTCCTCGTTAAGGAATCTATAGGTTAAACATCTATGGAGAATAGTAATAACAAAAGAGTTAATATGCGGAATCTTTAGGTTCATGATAATTTTATGAATTTATTTCAGAAGTAAAACTTAAATCTTGTATTCTATTTTTACATTACATAATATTTAATGACTTGTACATTTGCAATGTTTTGATAGGAAAAGTTTGGATTAGGGGACTATTTGGAGCATCGGCAGTGCAGTTGGCACTTGACCGGATCATATTTTACATATCCAGGTACGATCTCCGCTATATAGTAATGCGTTCTTCGAATTTCTTGATAACATCCATGCGACATTCTTACTGTAATTACAAATTGCATAGATATTCAAAGATATATGTGAAGTCAACCAACCCTCACTGGCTCTGCGTTGTTGAATAAGACCTAGTCGCATTCCTGAGGGTAGGCTCCGAGCCCCTCAGTGGAGTATAGTGTGTTCGTATAGTGAGCTTGATGATGACGATTTGTTTTGCTTCAATGCATATTGTCTAAATATTTTACCAACAGATAGGAGCTAATTTCTTTCCAGTGTTATTCTACTTCTCCCGACGTGAGTGGCACTACTACTCCAGTTCTATAAGAAAATATGACCTATCAAATAAAGAAACTGGAACAAATAGCATTTATCAAAGTTGGGGTATTTTGTTGGTGAACTAAACAATAATGGTATTATTACGAAAGCAGTGAGCATTATGTTGTGTTCTTAAAATATGTTCGCTTTAGTCAGAAGATTAAATTAAAGTTGCAATTAACGAAATGGTTTTATTTTTCCTAAATTGTTTTC